TGATAGCTGTTGTGTCGTTGTTTGCAGTTGATTCACCTGGTGACCTAACAAGGTAATCAGTAGTGAGCTTAATTAACAATGCTTGCTTTAAACCCGGAATCTTGAAGGTGGATCCAACAAAGATTAAGTTATCGTAACACTCTTGTCTCTTCTCTAAATCTGGTATTAATAAAAGGGATTCGTATATGGCTTCTGCTATATGGTTGACTAATTTTGAAGCTCCTTGAAATCTTTCTTTACCGACGTATATCTTTTCGTTCGTATCTGGATCTAAAAAGAAGTTCTTCTCAAGTTCACTATTTGACTTTGCTTCTTCCTTTTTTTCTTCACCTTCATTCGCTGCAGAATCGCTATTTGGCAAATTGCCGTTTTGCTCAGTAACTATTTTTGCCACGTCGAAGTCTTCTTCCTCTTCATTATTCTCACCAACTGTGTTCAAATCAGCAACAGAATAGAATGAGGAATCGTGATCATTAACTGCTTCAAAAATTCCTGATGTTTTTAAGGCATCAATTTGTTTACTAGTTAAATTAGGCAACAATTTTTGTACTTCTTCATTTATAGTTTTACCCCCAACTCCATTCAAATATATTCCTGCGTACTTAATACTTTGATACCCAATAACCGGCATTATTTGGCATGACTCGTGTCCCACATTCACGACACACGAACTGGCGGACGAACCCATACCAAAGTTGCACGCAATTGACAAGTCTAAAATGTTGAATGCCGTGAACTCTAAAGATTCAATCACGTATTTTGTCACGTACTCAATGTTAGATCTTGACCACGCCAAGGATGGTGCTATGAGTAGTAACGGAATTTGATTAATAGTAACCACTGGATTGTTAGTGATAACACTTTGCAATATGACCTTTAATAAATAGTTAAACGCATCTAAATCGATAATCTTGCTTTCTTTGATTGGATGTATTTCAATTAATTCTTCAGCTTCATTCTTTTTCGATTTGTATTCTCTCGTATTAGGATCTTGATAAACTACAGATGGAATTTTATATTGAGGTGGAGATAATGGATCCTGTAAACCAAACGAAAATATAGTATGTTGTGACCCAGGATGGACAACTAGGAAACTAGATTCCCTGAATAATGGCATTGCTTACTGTCTTTAATCTGCCGCTGTATTCCTTTAGTTGTTTATCCATATTTTCAGTTTTGAAGACAGCGATTGAACGACCACACACGACTTCCGTAATTTTTCAAATTAGTACCGTATTATTTATTCATATATGACTTTGCTAGTATATATGTATATAGGCTATATAGAAAATGAAAACAAGAATTATTTGTACATAAGCATGGGCATAAGATCGTGAAAATAAGAAAAAAGCTGTCAAAATTGCTGTTTTTAGTGGTTGGTTTGAATGGCTTGAGTTTAGTCTGCATCACTACCCTGAACATTTGCTAGGAATTTGTTATAGTTAGCTCTTGTTCCCAAAACAGATTGTTTACTCATGACACTGTTCAGTCTGTGGATGTTGTTAGAGAAGGAGTTTATTGGAGGTAACGAATCGGGCATATTCCCAAAATCGTGCTCACTGCTTATCAACTTGACTTCGTTAATGAAAGGCAATTCTTCTGGATCATCATGATAAGAAGAATGTTGCTTAATCGGTGAGTGGCGTGAACTTGAAGAATCAATCAGTTCCACACTAGGAATGGATTGGTTTGTTTTAGTTTTGGTCAATTCTAGCGAATTATTAGAGGGCCTTCTCAGTTTACCTAATGAGAATATTGAGCCCTTTTTAGGTTGGTTCTGGTAACCCTTAGGATCAGATGTGTGGAACCTATTGAGTTTAGGAGGAGAATGGTCACCGGTTACTAATTCTGGAGTACTTTGAAACCTCGAATCTTGTTTAGATGGTGTAGATTTGAATGGTGTAACAGACGTTAATGGTACCCTTGCACTTTTTGCTGGGGATGCTGATCTTCTTCTTGGTACAGCATTAGGAATGGCAAATTCATTAGAGTTTTTACGGCTGTTGTTTTCAGACTGCTCGTGCATACTACCGTTACGCATGCCATTCTCTATCTCTTTTTCTTCTTCTTCCTCGTTAATCTCAGTTTCGAAAAAGGTGTCTTTGATACCATTTAGGAAGGCTCCCATTGCTTCAGAGTCCTGGAGTTTAACCACACCAGAGTACCAAGTGATCCCTCCAATTAAAACTACCCAAAATAAACCTAGCTTTACAACATTGAAGATCATAGATGTATAATGACTTATCAATGGTGAAGAACTAACAAACACTAAAGTTACCATACATCCTGCAACAAAACTTGGGACATGTATTCCCGTCGTCTTTTCAAATGCCTCGGTGCTAATTTTGACGTTTGGAACTTTGAGTCTAACAGAAGGAGTTGAAGTATTTGTATTCCTTCTTTTGATTGGCTTTCTCTTTGGGTTAACTGAGTAGTCGGAAGAAACATATTCAGTATCTTTTGGGCATACCAGAAGGGCTTCTGGTGTAGGTGATACGTTGCTTGGATCTTCAGTAGATGAATTCAGCACTTGATATGTACAACCAATTAATTCATTTAAGTGATCCTCAGGAACGTTTTTGCTATCACGATCCTTCCCATGTACTCCGCCATCAGTTGGAATCTTTTTCAATCTAAAAACCCCATCTGTATCTTGCTTGTACACTATCTTTTTCTTGCCTGTAGTAGATGTAGTTATCGTAGCCATACTCGATTAGTAGCAGTATTTATGAAGATAATGTACTCAAAAACGGTGTAAATATAGGATGTTGGTTTTCTAAGTCCTCCACTTTAACTAGTCAGTGATATATTTGAAATGTGTTAGTCAATGAAAAAGTATGATCAGTAAAACGCTTGTCTTGTCTTGTTCTAGTGAAAGAAGATAATATATGGTGTTGTATTAAATTAAATCATGTATTCGAGGTAACTTAAAACCACAAGACCATCAGCTATAAACCAGGAGATTATGAACAATAGGATCGAAATATTGGATTGAAATCGGATATTAGTCAATGGCTGGGTCTGATTAGATCATATCTGCCTGCGAAGTATAGAAGATTACTGGTGTTTATATATTACCTAAATAGGAAAACTTATTAAAAAGTACCTAATTAGTATACGATTCAAGTCAAATTACATCTTTACCCCTTATTAATTATAATACAATATATAACATACGTAATGAAAGAGAATACATTGTCATACGATGTTCATATGTGTCCTCTTATTCGTCTGGCCAATTGGATATCTTTTTGCATGATCGTAACTCTCTTCGCATGTATAGCACAGAGATTGGTATCTTCCAACAAATGAACCAAATAAGCTTCTGAGGCCTCTTGCAAAGCCAATACAGCATTTGACTGCCACCGTATACCGTAAGAGGCTCCTATGTAGTTTTCTGCTATTTCTCTGACCAACCTTGAAAATGGTAGTTTACTGATTAAAAAATCAGTGGATTTCTGAAATTGACGAATTTCCCGTATAGCATTTGTAGCGGGCTTGTATCTTCTCTTTCTCTTTGTACTGGTAGCCTTTGCGGTAGGAGGATCCCCCGGTTGGTTTTGATATATTCCTGTTTCCCGTTGTCTATTCACTGACGACTGTCTTGAATGGTTGGCAGAACTCTGCCCCACCCTACCCCTTCGGATTTGTTCTTCTCTTTCTCTTTGTCGTCTCAAGGCATTAGAGGACGGTAAATTTCTAGTATTCGAAGATGTCGAAATTCTGGCCATCTCAATATTCACTGCGTGTCACCCTCTTTCAATTCGGATACTAATTTGTTTTGACGCGTTAAATATACTACGTTGTAACACACAGTCAAGTTACTCTGTTCAATTGATATTCAAACCTTTACTCTGTTTAAAGTAGTATATGTACAAACAAGAATATAGAATACTTGTTTGGTCTCTATAATTTAGCCAGCCATCTATGTTAACTTACATGCAGGATAGACGATAAAACCTAGTCTTAATTGTATTTAATGATATTAGGTCAAGTTAAGCTATTTACAAAAGGAATATAAAGAATGGATATTCAGGAGCTAGTACTCATGGGTAATTCCTGTTTCATTATGTGAAATTTTTAGTTCATGGTTTTGGTAAGAACTCGGTATACATTAATTGAGGATGTCGTGTCATGGTACTAGACTAGAATAGAGGCTAGCACAGTCGTATACAATGTAGTTGATTATAGGTTCGTAGTGCATGAGGTTTATTTCTCTGCTGGAGTAGTTTCATCAAAGTCATATTTACCATCTAGGATGTCATTCAAACTATCTTGGAGAAAAGCACTTTCCTCGTCCATTGGTAACTTAGCCAACTCTTTCTGTTTCTCGTTTCCACCCATCAAAGACTTCATTTTCCAACCAAACTCTTGAAAGTTCGAAACATCTATGATCCAACAAGTTCCAAATATAACCATAGATGAAACACTACCGCATAATAGGGTACCAGTTCCAACGGCCACTGCAGCATCTGACGTGAAATTATAACTTAATGGTGGTGCGTGATTCCCTTGAAATAAGCTTGGGACATATTGTCTTGTAATTGTAGATTTATATGCCAATCTTGATGTAAAAATGGTTATAGCTGCTGATCCCATGAAGAGCATCATTTGTCTTTTACGACGATTTTTGTACTCTTCACTAGCCGAGGCCAATTTGAAGTTATGCTTCGTTAATAGCTTATTAAACTGTGATGGCTCTGTAGACATTTCGATGGTTCCCGATTAATGCTAGACAATTATATTATTCCCTAATTAACATGAATTTTGATATTAATAAATTTCATTCGCACTTTCTACAAGCTAATAAAATTTTCTTCGTATATAAACACATTGATAAATAATACATTCTTAAAAACAAATAGGTACTTAAAACAAAAGAATTAACTTTCTAAGTAAATGAATACGAAATAGTAAATGAAATAACAAAAAATTAAAATGATAAAAAGCAATGGAACAAAGTATTAAACAATTAATTAGGTAACTCGATTACCTTCAGCTTAAATTTCCTCTTTGAAGACCCCACCCTGATTCTTACTAGAAGAAAGATCATCAATATCTACACCACTTCCTTCAGATTCGTTCTTGGCTAACTTTTCGTCCTTTTTGTCAGCAACTTTCGAGCTATCCTTTGATGAGTCCTTGGCTACAGTCTTTGACTCGTTCTTTGAAGTATCTTTAGCTGAGGATGATTTAGTGTCCTTGGTTGCATCCTTAGCGGTGTCCTTGGCGGATTTGGTCTTGTCATCTATTTTGGTAGACTTTGGTTCCGCCTTCTTAGTTGATGCAGGTGGTTCTTGTGGGGAACCAGAGAAGTACTTGGTGAATCTCTTGAAACCACTAGCTTTCTTTGGCGATTCATTAGTAGAAGCAGGTTTAGCCTTGGTTGGTGACTTTGCATTAGAGGTCTTTGGTTCGGGTTTCTTCGATTCTTTGCCAGCAGTACCGGCAGTTGACTTACTTTTTTTTTCCGTGTCTTTTGCCTTTGTTTCTGACTTAGATTTACCTGGAACAACGGCACCAGTCTCTAATTCCTTGTCATCTACTAACGGAATTTCTTTCACACCAGAAACTCCTACGGACTTAGATTTTGCGGGTTGAGGGGTTTCGGCTTCATCTTCTTCGTCATCCTCAAATTTAGGTTCATCAAATAAAGAGCCAGTATCTCTTAATTTATTTTCATCAATATCCTTTTGTAAATGTTCTGGTAATTCTTTATTAATTTCATGCTCGTTCTTAACTCTTTCATCAAGTTTGGATTCGATATCTTTTCTTTGGGATACTTTATCTTCTAAATGCTTACTCTTGGTTGCGTCTAATTCGCTTATCTTGGAGTCTAATTCCTTGTGGGAATCTTCTGCTTGCTTCAACTCATCAATGGAGGTTTGACGTAAGTTATCGGTTTCCTTTGAGGTTTCTTCGTGCTTTTGAGTCGCTAATTCCAACTCCATGGTGTATTCTTCAATTTCAATTTTAACCTTTTCTAAGTTATTGGTCAATTCGGCCAATTTGGAGTCATATTCCTCATTCAAAGCCTTCAGCTTCTCGACTTCTTCAGAAATTTCTTTCTTGGAGTTGACGATTGCTTCTAATTTGGTATTTTCTTCTTCCAATTCGTCCAAAGTTGGTTTCAAAATTTCATCTTTTTCAGCTTGCAATTCCTTCAATTCCTTACTACGGTTATCATTTAATTCCTTCTCTTCAGCATCTATACGGTCTTGGTTCTCTTGTTTCTCAGCTAATAAGTTTTCCTTTTCTTCGGCATATTTCAATTCCAAAGCCTTTAATTCACCAACCTTACTTTCAACTTCTTCATTTCTGGACGCTTGGTACTCAACATATTTGTTATCTTCATCCTTCTTTCTCTCTTCATTAGCAGTGAGTCTTGCGTTCTTTTCCTTCTCAATCTCCTTTCTTTCTCTTTCTTTACGGGCATGTTCTTCTTGCTTCGACTTTTGGTGAAGACCGACCAATTTGGCATGTTTCGTCTTGGTTTGTTCATCAGCTTCTCTTTGAGCAACAGCTTTGCTTTCAATATCAGACAACACTGGACCAACCACCAACGACGCCTTGGCATCTAAATCTGCAAGTGACATGGTTAAACCTCCTCCCAAGTCAACCATACCGGCCTTGTTGTTTTTCATTCTTTCATCACTGTTCTTTTGTGCAATGGCCAATGCACCGGCATACTCCTTGGCTTGTTGTCTGAAATCTTTGCTAGTGGAAGAATTGAGCGACTTCAAACGGTCTTGTGCCTTGTTATTGGCTGCTACCAACAAGTTACCATAAGCAACATCGGTAGATTTGAACGACTTGGACCTGACTTGCGACGCAGCACCGCTTGTGGTGGATCCACCGTGCTTCAACGAAGCTGTCGCTCCACTGGCAGCTAAATCTTCCTCTTCCTGGTCCAAAAATTCGGCAGGACGATGGTGGCCGGCTAATCCCGATCTATAGTCCAAGTCTGGGTTGAATCTCGAGTTCAACGACTTGCTCGATTTCTGCGTGGCAACCTGGTTGATCTTAGCGATGTTGAGCGCCGCAGCACTACCTTTAGCCGCCAATCCGTGTCTATAGTCCTTGACTGGGTCTAATCTCGTGCTCATCGTCCCAGACGAATTTTTGGTAGCAACCTTGTAAATCGACCCCCCGTTCACAGCTCCTGTGACGCCTGTGTAGCCGCTGCCCATACTTTTCATCGTGGCCGTTCTGGCTTCGTCGTCTCGAGTCCAAAGACTGGCCTCATCCCTCTTGGCCAGGAGCGCTGCCGTGTGGGCATCCTGTGCAATTGTACGTTCGTACGATGGTTTGACCGTCAAATCTGACGAAGCAGCCAACAACGCCGCCGTATCTGAAGCATTGGTGTTCACTCCGACCGATACGTTGCTAGGGGACTGGTAGACGCCTTGTCTTAATCTTTGTTGATAAAGGGCGGTTTGTGATAATGGTTTCCCATTGGCTTGATAAACTGTTTGTGACATACTCTCGTGTTATCAATTATTATCCCTATCACTTATGAATGTTGATTATACAATTTTCAACCGAAGGGGAATATATGGAAATTATATGTGAATTTTGCTAATAAATTGCTGAGAGAACATAGATGAAATGACCCTTTTGGAATTTTGGTGAGAATTCCATTGAGACTGCATATATTGTGGTTTACTTCGGTCGTCCCATTTAGGCAATTCCACATCACAATAGAGGCTTCTATTACGTAATAGAAGCTTTTCGCGTGCATTGGGCGGGTAATCATTTGCGAGTGGTATGACGTAGTGATGTCGGGGGACAGCCGCTCTGGTGTATGAAATGTGTTCTGGTGGAATCTGTAGTACACTCGGTGGTGCAATCTGTGGTGCAATCTGTGGTGCTTGAACAATAGTTTTCGGTGATGCTTTGTACTATAACTGGAAATGTGAGAATGAATCTGTATATGGTAACTATATAAATAAGTGTATGGTACAGTCTGACTATATAAGTAATAAAAAATTAGGTTTACGTTAAGAATTATATATGGTGTGTGTATTTATCTTATATCCATGGTAGATAAAGATATGGTGAATAAAACCATGGAAAATATAGTATGAGGTAAATAGTGGTGTCGCGGAAATATCATAATAAAGTGAGATGGTCGTCGCAGAGAACATTAATGCACCTAGATGAATGCATGTCGTCTCTACATGAAACGTGCAGTTTGATGTGAACTTGAAGATCGAAATAATCGTTCCATACCAGACTTGGAAATAGCCACCAATATTGGGACCTTAAAATTCTGTCAATGCTACTTTGTGATATTGGGAGAGGTGGATAAGTTCATATTTCAATGATGCGGAGTTCCTTATATCGGTAGTCTACGGTTCTAGAAAGTTATAAGAATTTTCACATGGTAATGGAGCGAAGAGCTAAATAATAATGCGACCCGAGAGCAATAATTGGATCACATAAAAGCCGTCAGTTATATCTCTATTCTTTCTAATCTTTAAACCGTCGAAGATGTCAAATACGGAATTCGATACAAAGAGCCCAGTTCTCGTTACTGGTGCCACAGGATACGTCGCTGGATGGATTGTTAAAAAATTATTGGAAGCAGGAGTTACAGTACATGCGGCTGTTAGAGACCCTTCCAACCACGAGAAACTCAGTCACCTTGAAGAGTTGAAGAACGGCACAAATGGTGATTTAAAGTTTTTTGCCGCAGACTTGTTGAAAGAAGGTTCATATGCAGAAGCCATGGCTGGCTGCAAAGTGGTGTTCCACACTGCTTCTCCCTTCACTTCCAAAATCACTGATCCTCAAAAGGATCTCGTTGATCCTGCCAAGTTAGGGACGAGAAATGTGTTGGAAACCGCAAGCAAAACAGAATCGGTTTCTAGAGTTGTGTTGACCAGCAGTTGTGCAGCAATTTATGGGGACAATAAAGACCTTGTTTCTCTCCCAAATGGTACTATAGATGAAAGTGTATGGAACAAGAGTTCTTCTTTGTCCCATAACGCTTATTCTTATTCTAAAACTGTAGCAGAAAAAGAGGCGTGGAGTATCAGTGAGAATCAAAATAAGTGGGACCTTGTTGTTCTTAATCCCAGTCTTGTTTTTGGGCCAGGATTAAATTCAAACGCCACATCCGAAAGTTTCAGTATCATGAAGTCGTTTGGTAACGGTCTGATGAAGAGAGGTGTACCAGATATCGGTATTGGGATCATTGATGTGAGAGATTTGGCTGTCGCTCATTTGAGGGCTGCTTTCATAAAAAATGCCCATGGTCGTTATATCATCTCTGCCCACAATACCTCTTTCTTGGAGATTGGGAAACTGTTATCACCAGAATATGATTCATATCCAATTCCTAAGCGTTCAGCCCCAAAGTTCTTGATTTGGCTAGTAGGCCCATTTGTCGATAAGAACTTAACAAGAAGGTATATTCGCGATAATGTCAATTATAAATGGAAGGCTGATAATTCAAAGTCTATCAGTGAATTAGAAATTAGATATAGACCTCTTAAGGAAACTGTTTCTGATTTTTTCCAGCTGATTATTGATGCCAAGCAAATTTAGTATAGACATTCCACCATTAACGGGTTAGAAGATCAAATTATGACTGTCAACAGAAGTAGTTACATAATGGACCCAATATGACCAGGTTGACTAATTTAAATCCAAACAAGGCAATTCATCCAGGGTGGTATTGACCAATAATTGAACACTAGCTTTAGTAACAAGTACTTTAGAGATGAACTACCAATTTGTATTAAAATAAGTTACCTTGCGCTTTAACAACACTTCGTCTTGAAAATGAACGGAATAAAAGAAACAATACTTATCCTTGTAACTATTATAGAGGTATATGAATAAATATGATTGTCTCCTATATTTTTAACATAAATATATCTTATAATTGAAATTTGACTAATTAATGGCTCTCAATGTACCTTGAAGAAACAATTAGCCCTTTATTTTCGAAACTTAACGCACATGAACTAAAAAACACTGTCTTGGCGGTTCTCAATGAGTAATGAACTGATATATATCTTCATTCACCAATTTTTTGTGGGTGCTGCACAAGCCGTGGGATGCGCCGGCATAAACTTTTTCTTTTGCTTGTGGTAAGATTTTCATCGCCGCCTTGCTGGATGAAATGGGAGGTACAATCTGATCATCATCGCCATAAAGAACCAACGTAGGTATATTCATGTTTCTCAAATCTTCACGTTGGTCTGTTTCCGAGAACGCAGCCACACAGTCATACAATGCCTTTATTGATCCTTGCATCCCTTGCATCCAAAAGCTGTCAATAAACTCTGTCGAGGCTTCTGACTCATCACGATCCAAACCATAGAAAGTAAAAGCTAAATCTTTAAAGAATTTAGATCGGTCCTTCAAGACATTATCTCTTATATCATGAAATACCTCAATGGGTGTACCCACAAGATTCTCTTCTGATTTCACCATGAGAGGAGGAACAGCTCCAATCAAAATACATTTCAGTACTTTCGCAACGCCATGACGACCTATATATCTAGCTACCTCTCCACCGCCAGTAGAATGACCAACATGAATTACCTTTTTCAATCCCAAATGATCAACAAGTTCGGCCAAATCATCAGCATACTGATCCATCGTATGGCCTTCCCATGGTTGAGAAGATCTCCCATGTCCTCTTCGATCATGAGCAATCACCCTGAATCCCTTGAGAGCCAAAAACAACATCTGGTCTTCGAACGCATCTGACGTCAACGGCCAGCCATGGCTGAATACTATGGGATCTCCAGCACCCCAATCCTTGTAGAAAAGTTCTGTACCATCGGAGAGCTTAAGTCTTGCACTACCAGTCATAATTATTGTAAAAGGATGGCTTTTGATATGTAATTTCTCAAGTTTGCTCTCCTATATCGAGGTAAGTGTAAGGATTTTTGATAATTAAGAACAGTGCAACAGGTCAGTTATATCCGCTAGTCGCGTTATCAGATCCGTTGATCGCCTAATAAAATCCGCTTATAGCGCTAAATTATTTTGCCAGTTATTAAATCCGCCCTTACGGCCTAATGCAATATTACAATTACTAATGAGGCTTGTTTAAACACTGGCAGTTCTGGTAGTATAATGATCAGTAATTTCAATATTTAGATTAACAAGGCACGGTTATATCAGTTTCTGAAGACTTAAAATTCTATGTGGCAACCCGGATATTCCTTACCTAAATTCAAACATGATATGATTAGTGTGAGGGATGTTGTTTATTTTATTAACCCAACAGATCAAAAATATATCTTTCCAGAATCCATTAGTTCACATCTAGCATTCGTATTCGCTAAAAAAAATGGACGGCAACCTGAGTATCCACTTGATTGCATTTGCTCGAATATTGATTTTATAAAAGTCTTACAATAGCACAGAAAGGTGTAGGTTTAGGGTCTGGTATGTTGGTGCGGTTGATTATGGTTTGAATAAATCAAATAAGGAGGTTTCATGTCTGCTTCATCTCATGATGGAGTGAACAAAAATGGTGGTTGCTCAGATTACCTCCACTGGTGGATCCTTAATTGATGGAATAAAAGACCTTGAATCAATGGCTTAGCTGAAATGAATATATCTTCAGGTTTAGAGGTATGTCTTGACTCTATCTGGGATAATATCAAAGTTTGCGCCGTTAGAAGTATTACCAGTCCGTTTAAAGTTAGAGAATGATAGCTCAGAAATTTCAATTGAGAACAAAGCTAATGGAATAAACTGGTATTTAGTAATAACAAAAGAACTATTTTAGGATCATCTTCTCTTCCTTTTACTTTTAAATTGTTAGATATGATAACAAGATGATAAACTAAATATAGATGTTAAGAATACTTGTTTAACACGTTATTGATATGGAAAGAGAATCTTAGAGGCTAGATTGAATAATTATCAGAAGAATCGCATCATGTAAGATGTAGATGAAAGCGTTTAAAGGATGGGTGTGTAGTCGAGAGTCAAGAATCAATTGCAAAATAAGAATATGTCGCAATGTCGCAGACTATCGCATGTCGCAATATGACTACATCGTTCAATTAATACAGTAACAAAATATTTATTAAATCAATCAGAGTGTTTCTTTCTACCGCCTCTATTGTGTAAATTAGGGTTGCCATAGATTATGGTCGTTGTTCCATTAGTGTTGACTTTGTAGTGAGTCTTCAAGTGTTGTGCGAGGTTGTCGCTTCTGCTGAACTTCTTCTCGCAGTACTTGCAATGGAACGGACGTATGTTGGAATGCACCGACCTTATATGTCTCTTAAGATGCTCGGATCGTTTGAATTGCTTAGCGCAATCAGGGCATGGGAATGGCTTGTCCTGTTCGTCTTCGTCATTGGAGACGCTGCGGTTGTCGTTAAGTGGTTCTTTGATAGTGTCGGAGTTGTGCCTGTTATGGACTGGGGCCACGGGCTCGGGGTTATTGACAGCGGAAGCAGCCGGTGTATCTTGCTTGGTCATTGATTTGGCATAGTCGTGGTTGTACGACTTTCTTCTCTTCTTTTTCTGCACCCTGGCTTCGTCGTCAAACGAATTGTGCTGGTTGTAGCTCGACGGTGTCACCAATTGAATCGAATTTCGCCTCTTGTAGTAGTTGGACTTGATAATTCCCGTTGGATTGACCATAATTTCCTCAGCTCCTCCCAATTCCTCGTCGTCGTCGTTCATTTTCGAGTTGACGTTTTGTAACGTATCGTTGATCCAGTACAGAATGGCGTTGAAGCACTCGTTATTCATTATGAAGTCAAACTTCTTCGATGCCGTAATGTCTGATCCCATTGATACCGAATGTGATTTCGCCTTGGGGTATGGTGCCCGTTGGGTGCCGTCGAACAATGTTGATAGCGACGGAGACGAAGAAGATGGTAATATGTATCCTCTGGCACCCGTGCCTTCGGTCTCGTCCGAGTGTTTGTCCGCGGGAGCGGATGCTGCTGGCGCTGATACCGCCCCAATGTCTATATCTTCGGTGAATAACTGTCTTGGGTTGATTGTCTTCTCTTCTTCTGGATTTTCTCGTATGACGCTGTAGAGGTTGTATTCGGGAGAAGGCGACTTCGACGACTGTGTCGACGACATAGACTTCAACGATAATAGGTTCAATTGATCAATGGGCAAGCTGAATGACAGTCCTGATACCGGATGCAGCTTGGGTGGTGATGACATCTCGGGCGTCGTATTAGTGGTTGAATACGTCGTCTGGCCCAACGGCATATTCGCCAACGATGACCTCGACGATATATTACTAGCCAATTCCTCAAATCCCCCCATGTTTTGTTCTCCCATAACCTCTGAGCCTATCAAAGCATATTCATTCTGGCGCAAGAACACCTCGTCGTTTATATTAAGCTCCCCCGGTTGACTCGCTGGTACTCCAAACTCTCCCGTCATTATTGCTGCGTTCACGGGCATAATTATCGATTTTTATATTTTTCAATATTTTGCTAATATTGCTGATCAATGATGCCGAACGCTTAATGATAGATAATATATGACTCTAATTTACCGCCCAAATTTCCTTTATTGTTTTGTATATTGGTAGAATCTGCTACTATGTGTCTTTCAAAGCTATATAGCCGGTATTATGCTAACTAATGATGGCAAATGAATTATCTCTGGAAACGAAGAAAAAAGACTTAATCAATTTATTAATCACAGTGTGGTGGTTACTAATTTATTCGCTATAATGAGTGGAGTGGTTCATGATAGCGGTTACGCAGCCCTGGCTTAGTGCTTCTATTATTGTTCCTAGTATACTCCGTATTCGAGACGGCTACAACTTAGTATACAGTTAATGTTTATGCCCTCCGAGCATACGTATTCGTCATACATGGCATATTTGGTAGGTGGTGGTTGGTAATAGAGCAAAAAGGTGGATGGTATGCTTCGGATCCTGATATGCTGGATAGATATCCGAATCAGTGCGCATAGATAACGATAACAATAACGTTACATATGGCATATTAGTAGCAAATCAGTTGGGGCCCGAGAGAGGGACGGGACGTAAAATCAGGAAGGGATGCAAGAGAGAGCAAGTGAGAAAGGAAAGGGCAACATATAGTGAGAAGGTGGGTATGTTATAGGAGATCAACGAGATGGTGAGTCCAAGAATAGGCTTGGCCCGATGTCCGAAATAGCAATTTAGCCCGGTGGGTGGTCCATAAACGTTACCCGGACATCATTCTGAACAGAAACCGGGATTATAGTGTATTTAGGATAGATATCGGGCTTAAGAATAGGCTACAGTGAACAACAGTGGTTTGGGGCACAATTGCTGGTTTATTGCACTGAGAGACCAAACAGAGGGCAGAACACAGGTACAACATACGGCAGGAGTCAGAAGGCATTTAGAGTTCTGGGTGAGTCGGGGAAGAGAAAAAGGAAATGGTGATCATGTGCAGGACATTCTATTTCGATGGCATCAGGCCATTTTGCAACTAAACAAATGGTTGGTAGTAGCGGCAGAAGAGTCGAATTGTTCATAATGTTATGATGATAGGTGGTGATTGAATGATATATGATAGCGTAATGGGCAATTGTTGTAGAAATATGTGTAGAAGTGTGCGTAGAAGTGCATTTGCACATAAAGTCGCAGAGCAATGGATTAAAAGCATGGAAATAATTCTGTCGCCGCTAGATGAATAATTTAATGTTAATTGGTTGACATGTGGTTAATAAAGCATTTAAATTATCTAGGACACTGAATAGAGATAGGCATATTTGTTAGTGAAATCGCGACATTTTCATGATTATCACGACATTGCCCCTCTGATATGGCATTATCTGTTTCTGGTTTTCTAATGACCGAAACAGGCAATATTGTGTGGATGCGAACTGAGTCTAATTTTAGCGCTTAGTTTTGTTGTTTAAATGAAGACAAAGCCATTTTGAAGAAGATATGGATACTTTTTGTAAAGTTGGAGGCTCTCGAAATACATGGTTCTGTTTGATCAGTCGCATGATTCAACAAACCCTCTGAATTTTTTCTTCAAAAAGAAAATACAATATAGTGATTGCAATTATGTCTACTTGGTTCACCAGTACACCAGGGTACCTTCGGTTCTGCCACTCTCCCGGAAGCAGCACTGGAGATTCTGGAGGTTGAATTCAATATAAATTAATGATGCGATATGAAAGACAATTACAACATTCCCGGCAATGAGCAGAAATCATCATGCAAGAATGCTCAAGCAGTTTAGACGTATATATTACCTTTCAGATCAGAGACCTCAATAATTTTTGATGTTATTTTTCTATACTTATCCGACTACTCTAGAGTTATGGAACGCATATTTCTTACTGCAAAGTCTGTTACTGACGTCGATATAGATTGGCGTTCTTCTGAAGGTTATAATATTTAAATAACCGTGCAACTAATCAACCATACCAACCATATCAATGAATTGCATCTCAAAGGCTACAACACTCTTATCGGCAACGCTCTTCTCTTCGAAACGTTGATCTCTTCATCTAGTCTGTTTCTACGCCATTTCTACAACACTTGAATCCGATCATTTCATAAATCATATACATGTCCATAATCACTATGGCCTCTTATAAAGCAAAAATCCACTTTTCACAGCAACTTTGGTGTAAAGTAGCTGGGCCCGATGGTTCTCAAACTGGGTGGACCAATAGCACTTCTTGCACTTGAATTTATCTGCCTCGGTGTAAACATACTCGATGAGTTTCCTTCCCACTCCTTTCAACCGCGAGTCGTTGCTCACAAATAAATCATTCAAATACAACGCATCCTCAATTGTCCAGGTGTTTCTATGAGTTAAGTAATTAGCAAACCCAATAACCTTTCCTGTTGAATCATCCACTGCGACTGCAGAATATACAGGCTCTTTAGGATCGAAGAATCTCTTGAAAGTATTTTCTGATACTTCCGGCGCAACATGCGATTTATAGAAAACAAGATAACTATCAGGTCCAGACCATAAATTTAACCACTCTTCTTTATCCTTTTGTTCAATAGGTCTAATTGTAACGGACATTAGTATTATGTACTACCGAAATATGTATGTACTATATTCTTTAGTTCTTGTTCACCATATATATATTTTTTGATTCCACTTCCAAATACGGCAATCCGCTATCGCTATCTCTCTCCCCTCTATATCCATGACTCAGATGGATAAGAGTACTAGATCTGCCTATTCGGCTGCTTACTCCAATGAATAGGGTTACGATGCATACAACCGAGTCAGAACGTTAAATGTTGTCAGCATGTCACTTGCTGCACAATTTAGCTCCTATTCTATACACTATTAGCACGTCAAAAATTATTTTGCATTTATTACTGGTGACACTTAACTAAAATATAATTATGTATTATAGAATAGTATTCAATTATTTATACAATATGGACACACGATTGAGGCTATTCGGCCATCCAAATACTAACGAGTGACTAGTTCTTAGTGAATATACGAAGATCTATTCAGGGGCTATATTTGTCACGCGGCTGAATTAATATAAAATATGCTACTTTTTTCGGTAAAGATAAGGACCACACCAAACACATAAGCCAAGATGTCTCTCCCTCCTTATAAACCATCGAAAGGTAATGAAGGTTATCCCGATGATGTCAAAAAGTCTGGTCCCCCAGATGATGTCAAAAGTTCTGGACTTCCGACATATGAACAAGAGTATGGATTGCCAGAGAGTCCTAACTTTATTCGTAGAGAATTTATATTTTGCAATATGCATTGGACCACTGATACACTCGCATTCACCTCTAGTGATTCAGCCACTAAATACAAGTCGTTCAAGAAGGTTCCCGCGGATTCTGATAATTTTAAGCATGTATTGGATCTACAACAGCAAGGTATTGGCATGCCTTTGATGGAAGCAGTATTCAGTTGGACCCATAGCTTTGGAAACGGTAAATTTGCTACCATATACAAATTTTTACCTCCACTGCCCGGCTCAGGTAGGTTGTTTGATAAGAAACGTGATAAATATAAATTCTGCAGTGTTCGTAAAAAGGCTGGTCCTCATTACTCGCGATACACATTTACAATTCTGCCCAAACCTGAAAACCCGTCAGAAACGTTCGAATTTTCGATTTTCTTTCATAGTAAATTGCCAATTGCAGACGTTACTAAATTTGACGGCAGTGATCAGAGATATAGATGGGTGCATTCTGAATATCATGCCCTTATGCTGAACTTCACCTATTCCTTATATTCTTTAGATGAGCATCAAACTTCCATGATAGACAATATGGATACCAGTAGCCAGAAATTGGACAAAAAGAATCCTTTGGTATATAGCTCTCTTGGTCAATTGTTTAAATTTGAATCGACAACGATTAAAGATGAATATTTATCTCTGGTGAAATCTGGTGAATTGATCCATTTGAAGGAAAAGAATATGATTACCTCATATCAAGAAACTGCTAAACTTTTATTGCATATTGAAAGAAGCTCACAGCCCATAGAGCTTGGAAGTGTTAACTCTGTGGAATTACACGAATTAATCAGTATGTGTATGTCTTTTGTAATAAAAAGACGTGAAGAACTTAGAATAGAATCTGCAAGAGCAACCGTAAGCAATGCTTAATCGTGCACAATTTGATTTAACTATAATACAAGTGACATAAGATATACTGATTGTCTTCTTCTGCCCCAAATTCGTAATAGATTGATTTCCTATTTTTAACTAACTTGAGCCCATAACTTACATATTTCTTACATATACTAAATTTTGTCCCTATGATTTTACTATTAGAATTGCTGCAACAGAATTAATAGTGATGTCGTCTCTACATCATCAATACACTTGAATAAAAGCACTAGTCAAGCTTCATATGATAAAGGCTTTTTTTTTTTCTTAATGTATCATAATACATTTACAAGTCGGTCAGTAATTGGTACAAGTGCATACGTCATCAGAATATCTGCAATTTTGTTTCTGTTTCTTCCATTATGGGCTCATAAATATTTCGCTATTTTGCGATTATTAATCCAAATGGCACTCAATTGGGCTTGATGATATGCCATTTAGGCTATGTGAGGTCGGTTCGACTAGTAATGGTGACTAGATCAAGAAATATACGAAGCCGTTGTACACGGGATCCGGCATATGTCACGCGGCTGAATTGATATAAATATTCCAACTTTTTGTCTTTAAAGAGCTATGCCTACCCCATAGATCAAGATGTCTCTCCCTCCATATGAACCTTCGAGAGGCAATGAAGGTTATACAGATGATGTCAAAAAGTCTGGTCCGCCAGGTGATGTCAAAAGTTCTGATCCTCCAGCATATGACCAAGAACTTGGATTGCCAGAAAATCCGGACCTTATTCAAAGAGAAATTATATTCTGCAATATGAACATGACAACAGATGTATTAGCATTTACTTCTGAAGATTCAGTTGCTAAATATAAGTCGTTCAAAAAGGTTCCAGAAAGTTCTGGTAATTTTGGACATGTATTGGATCTACAGCAACAAGGCATTGGCATGCCATTGATGGAAGCACAATTCACGATCATGCCTAGCTTTGGAAATGGTAAATTCGTATCCATATATAAATGCATCCCTCCACCACCAGGCTCCGGTAAATTGTTTGACAAGAAACGCGATAAATATAAGTTCTGCAGTGTTCGTAAAAAGGCTGGTCCTCATTACTCCAGATATACGTTCAAAATTCTGCCCAAACCTGATAATCCGTCAGAAACGTTCGAATTTTCGATTTTCTTCCATAATAAATTGCCAATTGCAGACGTTACTAAATATGGCGGCAGTAATAAGAGATATAGGTGGGTACATTCTGAATATCACTCGATTTTGCTGAATTTCACTTATTCTTTGTATTCTTTAGATGAGCATCAAACCTCCATGATCGACAATATGGATACCAGTAGCCAGAAGTTGGACAAGAAGAATCCTTTGGTATATAGCTCGTTTGGTCAATTATTCAAGTTCCCGTCAAGAAAGATCAAAGAGAACTATTTATCGCTGGTGAAATTCGGTGAATTAATCCATTTGAAAGAGAAATTCATAATTTCTTCATTTCAAGAAACTGCTAAACTTTTACTACATATTGAAAGAAGCACGCAACCTATAGATCTTGAAAGCACTAATTCTGTGAGTGTTCACGAACTAATCATTATATGTATGTCCTATGTTTTTAAAAGACGTGAAGAAATTAGAGTCGAAAGAAGAAGAGCAGCGAGAAGTAATGGTGGCGGAGGCTAAGTTTATGCATTTACATTGGTTTTAATTATACATTGTAGTATATAATAATTTTCCATTTCTTAACAAACTGGTAATTTCCAGCCGTACTCTTCACAAATTTCAACCCAATCAATACAGATATTACCATCTGGATTTCTACGCCAGCTTTCCTCAACGATATCCCAAACTCTTCTCACATTTCCTGCCTTATTTTTATCATAGATTTTAGTAAATTTCGTCGTAATATAATTTCTATCCGATTGGTTACAACATGATATTCCACATATTAAAAGCAGCATTGATAATGAAGCCGTCATCGGCGATTCTACTAAAATACTAATGTAAGCAAATGAGGTCAATAGTAACATTTGAACTTCACTGGATGAAGGTTGAGTTTGTTTTATGTAGAGTAGCAAATACATTTGACAGGTGAGTCGATATAGTTCAAATAAGGTTAAATGTAAGTCCAATTCCTCTTTGCTCATTATCAGTGCTATTTGTTTTTCATTAGGGCGTGCAAGCAGAACATTATTTAACAACTCATCGTATCGAGTACTCACAAACTTATAATGCTCAATCCGTTGTTGCATAAGGCCGTCAATTTCAGAAGAGCTAGAGTCTTCAAGAGATAGGTGTAGAATACTGACTTTTAGTTTTTTTCTTTCTTCTTTTAGTTCAACGTAGGAATTCATAATCTCACCTAGTATTAAATATATGGGCTGAATGCATCCTTGGTAAGGATCAACACCATAATCACCTATGTCAAGCAAATTATAATTCTTAAACAAGTTATTATAATTCTTCATAGAGCAAGAAGTTCCACTTGAAAGAGTAACTGAAGACATTATATCATGAAACTGAAAGCTTGCAATTAACCATTTCACATTGTTAGAATAGTTAAAATCTTTTAGGAATTTTGCCAATCCTCCATACGACCTGAGTAATTCTGTGCATGCGTTAAAATGCTTGTACCACTTAGAAACATCACCAGAACATATCTCGATACCGATTGCTATTAAATAATAGCAAACCGCTACGTAATACCCATGCTTATCCAATCTATAATTGGCCAAATGTCTTTCATGTATTAATGTGGTCGCTTGCGACATATGATAGTTGACCAACTCACTATATGGTCCCTCTGAAAACACCCCTCCCCATGCTGCCAAAGCATGCATTATAGATTCCTCAGTCATTGCCACGGACACAAAAGTTTTCAAAAAATAATTTGAAGATTCTGGACTTATGCATAAAATCTTCGCCACTCTGTTTTCGAAGAATTCCAAGAGACGTAACCCTGGCTCATCTAAATACAAACTGAATGTGGATGAAGGTGATAGTAATATATTCGAAAATTCAGAAAAGGCAATATCATTCGTCTCATTATATGGCATTACACTACTGGGAATATCTTCTATTTCGCCTAGCTGCATTGGATTTAATTCTCCAGGTGAATCCAATGCTCCTTTGAAGAAAGGTGACAAATTCGCATCCGTCAGTATTGGAAAGTTCGTGGTGCCCGCATCATCTATTATCTCATCTTTCTTTGCTTCATTTATAATATTGGTCATCTTATCAATTTCTGGAGCTTTCCCTCTCGAGGGTTTGTTCATCTTCTTGACTTTCTTATCATCAGTCACCGATTCATATTTCTTAATCAACCAGGTACATTCTACATCCCTTGACTTACAAGATCCACATATAGGATGTACTTCATCGCATTTTTTTCTTGAACAGTTAGTAAATATTTTTATAGCTCTAGCATCGAATATGTACTCACTTTCTTCGGCGACAGCATATGCATCCAGTTTTCGATCTAACTTTGGATCCGCTAACAATATTCTTCATTTGAATTTGCCGGGGTTTCACCCGATTCTTATCTTCCGTAAGCTCTGTTTTAATATTATTTAGTTCACTAAAGGAACTTGCATCTAGCGTGGAAAACATTTTAAAAGTTTGAACAAACTTTAGATCATCAATAGACTTTATCTTGGAATTACGTTAAATATAAAAAATGTTTTATATCACAGCACTCAAAATAATCATATGTCTATAATTCTGCGGTTCTCAACGTACCCCATTCTATTAGTCTATGAATGCTATAGTGACAAAGTATAATAGTGACGGAAGAGAAACGCTGTTTAGTTCGATTTTTTTGTGTAGTGAGGTCGAGCACAAACCCCCACAGCGTGGATATCCTTGTCTACATGGATGTCGCTTTTACTTTCATATATGGGTTCATAAATATTAATTATATATTAAGCAATCTCGGATCATCCATAGATCCGCTGATAAGATGTAGAATGGTTCATGGCAAATAAAATATTTATTCAGACCGGTGGTGCACCACGTATTGAATTCACAACAATTCTTTCATGAATTCCGATGTATTCCATTAATCTGGCTTTTTTTTCCGAGACAAGACGAGTGGTGCCTAGTCTGTAAAACCTTAAATACTGATCAGTTAATATTCCATTCATTCGATTAATTTGATCAAGCGATGTTAATGATTGGAGACCACAGTCATTAGGGTGTTGTCCACTATCATTATAAATAGGAAGATAAGCATTTGGCGAGTCCATGTCAGCTCCAGATGCCAATAGCTTATTCTTTGACCGGTTCTCCTGGCTCATAATGAGTCTTTCCAAACCACCAAATTTTCGGTCCATATCACCAAATTTTCGGTCCATACCACCAAATTTTTCGTCCATAACACCAAATTTTTGGTCCATAACACCAAATTTTTGGTCGATATTATCAAATTTTCGATCCAATTTTCTGTCCATGTTGCCAAATTTTCGGTCCATCCGATTTGTTAGTGCATTCATGTCCCTTCTAATTAATGAATACATTTGGTTGAGAGCAGGATTTCCAAAATCAAAAGCTATATTTTCTGCTTCCTGTGGTTGTCCATTTTCATCAAGAAAAAGATACCGATTAATATGGTCTACATTCCCTCTCACTTCAATTGTAGAATCCCTTAACATTTGGTGGTGTAGCGTAGTCCCAATTTTGTTTTCCGCAGCCTGCTGCTTCAATTTTGTTAAGTATATTTCTCCTTGGCGTTGTTCTTCCCCGGGCGCATTGTTAAGTTTCAATTGTGAGAGATAAANAGTTGCCTCTTCGACATTCGAGTCATTAATACCATTATTTTCTTGGTTTGTATCAACATTGATAGTAGGAACCTCTATATTAACAGAATTTCCTGGAGCGAGTAAAACAATATCCTGGTTTTTTTGATTCAATAAGTTATCCATATTTACGATACTAATAGTATAAATTAGAATTTTTGGGTGTTCTATCGCATACCACCCTATTATTTCTGAGCGGGTATACCCTATTATATAGCCTAATGCTTTGTGGTCTGTAAATTAAAATTAATATCCACAAATAGTACTTAACGCATAATAAAAGTTAGTTTTGTATCACTATCAAAAATGAATGCTATGCAAGTGTCGACACTAAGCATAATGTTACATATAATAGGACTATTGTATCAGTGCGAGTGAGAAATGGCTTGAAAATGCGGAGGTAGTTTGAATTTGAAGGAATAAATCCATCACATGGTTGGCATTTCTTTAGGCTCACTGACCTGTTTTAGAAGGATCTATTAGTTCTTAGTATGTAGGTTTATGGAACCACAATTATCCGTTATATTCTGTCATGATACGAATTTCTGCCACAACAGCTATATTCTTGCCATGTCGAACATTTTTGTGTCTAATCTAGTTTAATGCAACCACGTAGTATTCATTAAATTTAGTATTTGGAGCAAGCCGTACCTATATATGTATGTAGCTAGCAGTTGAGCTAAGTTTTCCCGCAGTAGTATGTTTTCGCAGCACTCCGAAAGAACTCATCAATTCGTCATTCCAAGATACTTCTAAATATATTGACTAATTGGGTTGAGGGGCCTTGAAAACACACCACGCCATATAAAAGAGGGATGCATTACGGACGGTCTGCCATGGTCGCAGAAAAAAGGTTTCGAAAGGAACTGGATATAATACCAGATGTAGATGAGAGTAGCATATTGTAATATTCTTGGCCCTCAGATTACTCAGAATAATTATTTTCAGTATATCCCACTAATAATATTTAACTTGATAAATGAATTTGCATCTGGCGTGGATAAACGGTCTAACGCTTTTAACAATCTTTATATGATTGACAGGTTTTATCTGAAATCACGTTAATAACGTCATATTCAAGAATAATTATATATTTATAATACTGCAACTCTCAATGTACTCCGTTTTAGTCCACGAGTACTAAAGTGACAAGGTATAATAGTTACGGAAGAGATGAGCTGTTTAGTCCAATTCTTATTCAAGATCGAGCAACAGTCCCTCACAGCGTCGACATTCTCGTCTACGTGGATGTCGCTTTTAGCATCATATTTGGGGTTCATACAAATTATATATATATATCTAGCAATGTTGGATCATCTTTAGATCCGCCGGTAAGATGTAAACTGATACATGGAAAATAAGATATTCATTCAGACCGGTGGTGCACCGCGTACCGAATTCACGACAATTCTTTCATGAATTCCAATATATTCCATTAATCTGGCTTTCTTTTCTGAAACTAGACGAGTGGTGCCAAGTTGGTAAAAGCTTAAATACCGATCAGTTAATATTCCATTCATTCGATTAATTTTATCAAGCGACGTTAATGGTTCGAGACCACCATCATTAGGGTATTGTCCACGATCATTACAAATAGGAAGATAAGCATTTGGCGAGTTAACGTCACCTCCAGATGCCAAGAGCTTATTCTTTGACCTATTTCGTTCACTCATAATGAGTCTTTCCATACCACTAAATTTTTGGTCTATCCGATTCGTTTGTGCATTCAAGTCTCTTCTTATTAATGCATACATTTGGTTAAGAGCAGGATTTCCAAAATCAAAAGTTACGTTGCCTGCTTCCTGTGGTTGTCCATTTTCATCAAGAAAAAGGTATTGATTGATATGATCAACGTTTTCTCTCACTTGAATTGTAGAATCCCTTAACAATTGGTGGTGTAGCGTAGTTCCAATTTTGTTTTCCGCAGCCTGCTGCTTCAATTTTGTTAAGTATATTTCTCCTTGGCGTTGTTCTTCCCCAGGAGCATCATTAAGCTTCAATTGTGAGAGATAAATATTTGCCTCTTCAACATTCGAGTCATTGATACCATTATTTTCTTGGTTCGTATCAATATTGACAGTGGGAACTTCTATATTAACAGAATTTCCTGGAGCGACTAAAACAATGTCGTGGTTTTTTTGATTCAATAAGTTATCCATATTTACGATACTAATAGTATAAATTAGCGTAGAATTTTTGGGTAGTCTATCCTATATCACCCTAGTATTTCTGAGCGGATATACCCTATTATATAACCTAATGCTTTGTGGTCTGTAAATTAAAATTAACATCTACAAATAGTACTTTATGCATAATAAAAGTTAGTTTTGTATCACTATCAAAAATCAATTCGATGACTGCAGATGTTATAGTGTCGACACTAAGCATAACGTTACACATAACAAGACTATTGTATCAGTGCGAGTGAAATTGCTCGACGATGCAGTAGTCTGAATTTAAAGGAATAAATCCATATAATGGTTGACATATTCTTAGTTAACGGGCAGTAATTATGCCTAGGCTAATTGTAATCCATTTTTATAAAGATCTAGTAGTCTTTAATATGTAGGACATCATTATCTATTATATTCTGCCATAATACAAACGCCTGCCCCTACAATTATATTTTTGCCATGTTGAACAATTTCGTGTCAGTTTAATGAGATCACATAGTTGATATTCAATAAGAAGTTCAGTATTAGGAACAATCTGTTCCTACATATATGCGTAAGTTCACATTAGCAGCTAAGTTAATGATATGATATTCCGTCAAAAATTGTGATACGAACTTGAAATGGACTTGATAACCCACGCGGTCCGTAAATTGTGTATGCCCTTCGTAAGCTATAACGTGGATACGTCTAGAAAACAATATGTCGTCTGAGCATCAATTTGTGAATAAACCAATTATATCTGCCCGAACTAAAGAATACTCATCAATTCGTTATTCCAAGGACTTCTAAAAATAATGACTAATTGGGTTGAAGAGTCTTTGAAACATCCCAAGCTATATAAAAGAGGTATGCTTTACAGACCGTCTGCCATTGCCACAGAAAAAGGGTTTTCAAAAATAATTCGAAGGCTGCGAACTATGCATAAATAACTTAATAGACATAACCCTAGTTGGAAGGGTATAGATGAAAATAGCCTATTGGAAGAGTAATATATTTGGCTGTCAGAAAACTCAGAGTTATTATTTTCAGTATATGCCATTGAGAATATTTAATTCACTAAACGAACTTGCATCTAGAGTGGACAAACGGTCCAACGGTTTTAACAACTTTAGATTATTGACAGATTTTATCCGGAAATTACGTTCAATATACAAATGTTTATGTGTCTATAATACTGTTGTCCTCATTCATTCTATTTTTCAGTCTATGAATGGTATAATGACAAGGTACAATAGTACGGAAAAGATAAGCTGTTTAGTCCGATTTTTTTGAGTAGTGAGATCGAGCACGAATCCCCCACACCCAAATAAAAAATAATCCCCATAAATAAGTCATAAGAATTATCACTCTTTAGTTGATATATTCTCAAGGATGATTTCACCTAAACATAACTACGTAGAAGAAGACTTGGGAGCTTTAGATTTTAATGGGAAACTTTTACGTCCTTGTGATGGTTGTGCATTAAGGAAAGTACGTTGTAATCGCCAGAAACCTTGTTCGCAGTGTATTAAGCACAATGTCTCCTGTACTAGCAATAGAATCAAGAAAAAATGTGGACCGAAACAAATTCATAAGAAGACAAAGGAGACGATTCAAAGGTTGAATTTGGAAAATGGTGTAGTAGAACCTGGGATTCTGGTTACAGCGGCCAAAATATCAGATACTAAATTATTCACGGTAGATAAATTGTTACCATATCTTCAGATTTATCAGACTTGGTATTACGGCGTATGGCCGGTATTATCAATTGCACATTTGGTGGCTAAAATGGTTCAAGACGAGGGTAAGGAACAACCTGAACTGAATACAGAAGTTGATACGGCATATGTATTGGCTTGTTCTGTGTGTGCTGATATTGCTACTCAACTAACATTTTTATCGGATACTCTTCATGTTAGAGACATGCCTACAGGAATAGAAGCTAAAGACTTTGCCGATGAAGCATTGAGAATCCGCTCTCGTATTAACTACAGGCTCAACCCCAACATAGATACACTTCTATCGTCGTTTTTTCTTTACGATTACTACGTAAATGTTAAGGATTATAAATCTGTTGCTATTACATACTTGAGGGAGACTTTGACGTTTGCACAAATTCTCGGACTCCATAACCCTAAAACGTACTTTAACCAGGCTCCAGCTTCTGTTCATAGGATGAAAAAGATTTACTACATGTTAATGATAACAGAGAGGTTTTTATGTATTGAAGAAAATATCCCTGTTCTCCTCACTCCATCTATTCCGTTTCCTGCATTGGAAGATGAAGAGTATCCAGAAATACTAAGTGGTTTTACGGAACTTGTTCGAATATTTTCCATACCTGATAAATCCTTTTTTGACAAATTGGCAGAGGAAAGCTCAAACTCGTCAAACCTCAAGCTATTTCAAAAATCTTTATTTCAATTAAGCAACCCACCCACTCAAAATTGGATAGTAAATGTACAGAATAATTTACAAAATGTGTCTATTTCTCCGTTGATTCCAGATACCCAAAAATTGAATATTATACTATCGCAGCATTGGATGAGAGCTTTAGGCTGGCACATAGCTAATCAAAATGAACTTTTAATTAGAGACTCAGATGACAATCACTGTCTAAGCCCTCAATTTCCATTAAATATTGCTAAAGAATTCTTGACGTCAACTGAAAATTTGTCCCAGTTTGCGTTTGAGTCAAATGGATCTGGCGTTTGTGTTAAATTACTCGAAATTGCCAATGCATTAGCGGACTCTGTCTCAGAGTCAACAGTTTATAAATACGATACATATAATTCCTATGATGCATTAGGGGCAATATTTCAATTGGTGGGAAAATTCAAGAAGGATATTTTATTGCCAGTCGATTTATATAATAAGATCGATACAATAATAAGTGATAAAGCTATATCAAAATTCCCGGCAGCTTACATAACTGAGGTTGATGATGAAGCGTCTTCGAGAATAGCATCTTCTAATAGTAGTAATGAGAATAATAGCAATGATAATGTTAGTGAAATTGTTAATAATATACCTCACACGAACAACGCAACCAATAAGCTATTTTCTCCATACACACAAATGACTATGGGGATTGGATTAGCTCCAGGTACCATACTTCCATCGTTAAGTTCCTCGAACCTTGCAGCTTTGCAATTGCAATATCATCAACAACCACATAATATACCGTTCCATGATCAACATCAAGAATACCGAAATCAACACAAGCAACAAGAAACCCATCATTATGAACTGCCATTTTTAGATTTAGATAGAAACGTTATGTCCGGATCAAACGTTTATGTTAAAGACCAAAAAATAAGATTTGACTCAGAGATTGATTTTGATAATCTATATAATATATAAATAATTTTTTGATGTATTCATACAAAGTAATAAATTATTGTATTATTTACGTTTAAAAGGAAAAATCTGTATCTTATATCATATTGTTATACAAGAGTTGATAAAATAGTTGGAAGACTAGCCAAACTACGAAGAATTAAATTATGTATTTTGGATTCTGAGAAAATTATTTTAAACTTTTTCTGAGAACATATCTTTAGAGGCATCAGTAACAACAAGATCTTTGATCCCATCTTCTCCTAACTTTTCAATAAGTTCGTCTGTATTAAAGACCTCAACTTCCGTTTTCTTGAATTGTCTAGCTTTAACTTTATTTTCAAATAATTGATCCAATTCAGCAAAAGTCTTACCCTTGGTTTCTGGTAAATCAAACCAACACCAAATTGCTGCAAAAAATGCAAATCCTGACCAAAAGAATCCAGTCTTAGCTTTCCAGTTCCAAGCAGTTGGGTTTAACATGTATGGGGTGATAATTGCAACAACAATTCCGGCAATATTATACGCATTTCTAGCAATAATAATAGTTTTGGTACGAAGTTTTGTTGAAGGAATTTCAGCAACGATACAATAACAAAGAGGACCGATAGTGAGGTCATAGACAAAAGTGTATACCAATAACAAACTTCCGACGCCCCAGGATGAGGACTCTGTTGGGTTGATACCAAGACATCCAACAACAAATAAGATACAAAACAAACAACAGAGCCCATAGAAATAAATTGTAAATCTACCAGCTTTCTGGGAAAGCAACCATGAACCAAGAGTACCAACTATACCAAAGCAATATTGAATGATCGAAAAAGTGAAGGACATATTCTGTCCAAGTCCAGCTTGTTGGTAGAAGTAAGTTGAATATCCCATTAACGAGGAACCAGTTAAGTTTTGACTGACCCAAACGATGGCAGCAATCCTGGTTCTACGAAGATCTTGACCTTTGAAACAATCTAAAAATGATTCTCCATTATTTGTAAGGGCTTCTTCTTTCAAAGTCATTTGTATTTTTTGCACCATTGCTTCAGCCAAGATTTCTTTATCTGGTAAATGTTCGTTTACAGTGAGTAATCTTTTGATTGAATGTTTAGCCTCTTGAATTCTATTCTTTCTTGCCAACCACCATGGAGATTCGGGAGCTAAATAGATACCTATAGCAATTGGAATTGGCCATATCCATTGGACAGCAAATGGAATACGGTAAACATCCTTGATATCACTTGAAACAAGACCACGAAGAATACCTGAAGAAATCAATTGCCCAAAAACCCAGCAAACGTTAACGTAAGTTGTCAAATAGACCCGTAAGGTGGTGGGACAAACTTCAGACGCATACGAAACTGTTAGCGTTTGGAATGCCCCCCATGGAAGGCCCAATAATAACTCACCAGCTAATAACATTTCAACATTAACAGCAAAGAACACGATAAAAATAAACCCAGTAGTAAGCATCAAAGCACCAATAAGTGTCTTTCTATACCCAATTTTATCGGCAATAATACCTGCAATAAATAACCCAATAATTTCACCAACATTTACACACATACTTAAAGATGTTTGCCATTTAGCAGGAATCTGATACAGTCCATCGGCTTCACTGTACTCGCCAAACTTTTTAGCGAAATCCGGAAAGGCGTATAATGAGTTCAAAA